GTGGCCCTGGCCGAAACCCGTTCGCCTGCATGAATCAGAATACATTGCAATGTTGAATTTGCCCGTATGGGATCCACGAGTAAGTGCGTCGAATAATGCCTCACTGAAATTCGCCTTGACTAACCTTCATGTACTGAGTATACATACAAATATATATATATTTTTCATTCAAGCATAATCCCGCAGATCGGTACCACCTGATGCCAATCCTCACGCCAAGCTACCCCTCACAGAATTCGGCGTATAACCTTCAGCGGAGCAATCGCATCATCATTAAGCGTGAAATGAAACGAGGTGTGTTGTGTATGGTGTGTGTTGCTTGGTCTCTCCCCACTTTGTGAGGTAGTTTGACTAATCCTTGTCACTGCTTCCTTACTTCACACTTTCCCGCGTTCTTGCACGATCATGCTAGTCTTTGGCCAGTGTAATCAGTCATGCTGCAAAACACGCCGCGACGTTTACAATTAAGTAAATTTGGTGTGCGGTTTTCAAAGTTTTGTTGCTTTTCCTTGAGGCAATTTAACTTCGATGCGAGGTTCACGTTTCAGCTAATGATCTGCATCACAAAAGTTTGTCTATCTGCTAGTGGATATGTTAGTGCATCAAACTATCGTATTGTTGTTGACGTTGTTGCTGTTGTTGTTCTTGTTGTTGACAAGGCCATGCAGTTGTGAAGGAGATACTTCTTCGAAAGCGCCCGTGGTCGGACCTCTTCGAACCAGCTTTCTTCTTCACATACCGCCACTTCATTGTGGTAATTGTAAGTGCCGTGGAGAAGCGGTGCTTCATGGAGCGGTGTGGCTTGGTTGAGTCGCGATTGCGTGTTTTGGTGAGCAACGCAGAGAACAATTGTTGCGTGAAGATTGCGCACGTGAATTGTCGCGCGATTGGCAAAGGTCCAGAGGACGGCACGGATGCAGCCTTTGTGAAGGAGTGGTTTATTGGCATGGAGTTTTCCCATAAGCGGATAACCTGACGGACATCATTTCACCACATTTCTCATCTCGTCTTTAGCGCTGTTTTGAAGACATTCTTCTGCTATATCAGATTTAGCAAATCCTCTGTAACGCGAACTCCGTTAACACTGCGAACGTCTTGCTAATCCATATTGCTCAGCAATCGTTCACAGTTGTTCCATAAGTTGAAATCACTTCTCACCGAAACCATGTCGACCTGTGCAAACAGCAAATCAACCTAAACATCAACCAATAAGTGATATAGCTAGTAAATCAATCTGGATTACCTCAAAACTCATGCACTTCAGTTTGAGTAGGGGAACATAGGCGTGTGGGACGGCGTGTAGATCCTCCACAGAATCG